ACAAGAATGAACAGGACATTCATTTCTACTCTATAAATAACATCTTCTGTCACAGGGTTAGATCTGAAACTAGAAGGAATTCTTGCTGAGATAAGCAAGAAACTGCCAGAAGTGGACAAAAAACTGATTTCGCCCCACTTAGTGGCACAGGTGTTGGATTTTATCTGTTCTCCTTGTGTGACAGAGAAGACACTAGTGTGTTTTGGTTCCTCGTACCATGTTCTTTTCTGCTTTTAGCAATCATCGTTTTGCCTACCTCGAGCGCTGCTGTTACCATCGCCAAGTCCTAGAGGATTTTTGCTGTCTTTCTCTCGCTGATTGACGCCTCCCTTTAGCCAGGATCCTACTCGTCCCGAACGCAAGCAACGAGGCAGATGCCTGCTCCAGACTGCTCAGCATCAGCCACCACTCGGCTGGGAGCGAAGAGACAGTCTCGGCAGTGCTCCTACCTCTTCGTTCCTGTCCCTTCGTTCCTCCAGTAAATAACTTGCCAGGAGAAAAAAACAGCCCTTGCCAGCGAGCTACTCCTCAGCCTGCTTGCTCCGCCACCCGCACCTCGCCCCACGTCCCCCATCGCCCGCCCGTCCCAGCACCCTGCCAAAGGAGCCTCGCTGTGGCCAAGCCGAGCGGCGGGGTCGGTGGGTCTGAGCCCCCGCAGCCTCTGCAGAGCCAACACCGCAAAGCGCTTGCTCTTGTCAGGTAGGTGGGCAGGTTTTGACTGCAAATGCTGAAAAGAGGGAGTTGAATTTGGGAAGGTGTCGGCTTTCCGGGAGCAGCCCTGCAGATATGCAAGGTGCCTTAACCCTTGCCGGCCTGCTCGTTCTCAGGGCCCCTTTGGGCAGTGGGACCACCGTGCCCTCCCAAAGATAAAAACAAAGTCCCTGGTATTCCAGCTGAGACAGCACCTCTTAGGGGTAAGGTGACTGGTCCTTTTTAAACACACGCTCCACGTGTCCCTCCAGCCACTCCCCTGCAAATGCCACCCCAGGACCTTTTTGCCGATCGCTGCTGCCCCCTGAGATGTTGGGGGTGCACGTGTGACAGACACCCCTGGGTGCGCTCTGCAAGTGACCGGGCAGAATCGGCTCGGCAGGAGGCCAGGAGCAGGGAAAGGGAGTTTGCAAGCGACACAGACATGCAGTGGGGACCCGGGCACGGGGTGAGCGCAGCAGAAATCGTGCCCACGCAGTGCCAGGACACAGGTGACTTTGGGCACAAAAACCCGCTGCGTGCACAGTCAGGAGCACAAACAAGGATCAGCCTGATTTTTCCAGTACTAGACCCCAACCCATGCACCGACAACGGGCTTATCCCAACCATGGAAGATCGTGCCAGGACCGGGCACCCCAGGGGAACTTGCAGCTTGGGGCAAGGCGCTGCCGATGGCTAGGACGGACCCTGGCGCAGCCCCATCCGTGCACCCCAACGAACACCCGCTGCCTGCCCTGCAATGTGCCACCTACCTCCTTCCCGGGGTGGTGAGATGAGGCTGCTCCTGCCAGCATCTGCCAGGGCCTGGCTCAGATGAGTCAGGCTTGTTTCCCAGCGAGCAGTTTTCCCTCCCGTGCTGGTGCCAGGGCGAAGGGAGCCGGTTCTGGGAGAGCCAGGGCGACAGCGAAA